GTCTATGGACCGAACTTTCGGCTTAGGCCTAGCAGGCGGTGGCTGGCGTGGTGAACGGGTGTTTCGACGAGCGGAGGTCTTTGTGGACTAGATCCCGGGCTGTTGGAAGGTGTCCTGGCCATGTACCCAGCACCTCCACCAGTGTCACGACGCCGACACAGGAGAAGTCCTATATAGAACAGCTCACTTTATTTAAATGCAAGGCGCTCGTAACGAGGACCGGGCAAGAACTTCGTCTTTCTTTCTTGCTGCGCGAGTTTTTGTCTGCAGGTTGAATGCGGCACTATGCTAAAGAACCTTGGGCAAAGAGGCACAACTATTCTCTTAGATATTTGCAATGTTCTGTGGATGCAAGAAATTGTACCCACGTCTTGGAAGTTTGCTCGCATCATTCCGGTCCTAAAACCGGCTAAGACGTCCATGAGGCTTGAATTCCCCCACCCAATTAGTCTGACAAGCTGTCTATGTAAGGAAATGCAAAAATGACCTATGCGCGACTTTAGTGGTGGTGCAACAGAACCGATGTATTCTGCTACTACCTAACGGGTTTTAGGAAACAGAGATGCACAATAGATGCAATACTGGACCTATTAACGTATGTGCAGCTTGAACGCGCCTGTGGTAGTTTGACGGTCGCAGTGTTTTTAAACATGAAAAGGGCATTTGACACTGTCAGTCACAATCATGTTCTGCTGAGTATGTTGGAACTCAGACTGTCCGGCAGGTCTTTGCGGTGGGTATCTAAATTTTTATCAGGACGCAAAATATCTAGTCAGACGAGCGAACGAAAGAGTGTTGAACAACACGTCAGACAGGGAGTGCCACAAGAAAGCGTACTCAGCCCTTTTCTTTTCCATTGTGTTATGGCTGATTTAGCTGAAAGACTGCTTTCTAGGTTGAAATACTCCTTATATGCATATGATGTGTGCATTTGGACATCTGGCACGGACATGCGGTTAATTCAGATTTCATTGCAAGTCGCCATAAATATTATTACCAGCTTTTTAAAACGACAGCTGTATTGCCCTTTACCCGTAAGAAGTTAAACATTTCAATCTCAATTTAGAAGGAGAACAACTAATGATTGTGACATAGCATCGGTTTCTCGAAGCAATACTTGATAGGCAGCTATCATGGGCACCTCACATAAAGAAACTCGAAAACAAAATGAACAGGCTAGTGAGTATACTCCGCAGAATTGCTGAGACATCATGGGGTGAATCTGTGAATCTGTATCATCCATGCTCGCTGTTCAGAATGCTTTAATACGACGAAAAATTGCATATTCGGCAACAGTCTTACATGGCCTTTTCCGCACTTCAGAGGAGCAACTTCAAAGAATATTACCTAGGGGACTGCGCGTCTGCCTAGGTGTGCCACAAGCGACTTCCAGCAGTCTTTTCATAGTAGAGGCTCTGGCAACCACCATTTCCAGTCTTGAGAACAATGGAAACTTGCCGCCATTTTTTTCGCTTACAGACGCGACACAAGGACCATTATGGGCACTGGATGTTTTGCAAGGGGATAAAGGCAATGCTCATAAAAATACAGAACAATGTAAATATAATACCAAGAAAAGAATTTGGGAGCTCTTAAGTCAACTATCTTCCATGGCTGCTTGCAATTACCAAGCATTGAATTCTCAGTGGATGGAATTATCAGAGAGAGAGGCATGTTCATACAAGCTGCTGAACAATTAGTGCTTTATCAGATACATATGCGGTATCCAGGCCACATACACATTTACACAGATGGTTCAAGTACTACAACGTCTTAAACATCGACATTTATTATACCACATCTCAATATTCCGGAATAATTATTATGACATGGCATGACGTCATCTACTGCAGCTGAGCTTTTCGCTATTTTGTATGCTATAGAGTATGTAAACTCGGCAGCAGACGCGAGAAAATGGGTACTCTTCAGTGACTCACATGCCACATTAAGATCACTCTTCAGTACTAACACGACAGTAATTAGTGATAGTATGATACGAAACGGTGAAAGAGCTCACCAAAACAAACGACGTGAAACATGACATCGAATTCCAGTGGACACCTGGCCATTGCAACATTCCTAAAAACACTATTGCCGATGAAGCAGCGCGACAAGCACATCGTAAAGACGTTACAGTTTCTTTACCTATTTCGAAAAATAATTTGCGTAGTAATATAAAGACTAAAACTTTCAGATTGAGCAAAGCCACTAGGTTTGACCAAAGCACAAAAAGCCGTGATTGATGTCACATCGATGCATTTATTAAATTCAAGATTACGCTGACAATAAATAGAAGTATGTAAACTATGATTCACCGATTGAGGCTAGGCACCTCATGCACACAACATTATTTGCACAAATTGGCAGAGCTGAAACTCTCGAATGTGAATGTGTATTCATAGATGAAGACGCATTAAACCGCAGACCGTTAAGCATGAAGAAATTTCTGGGCTCGTGGCTCACGGGAGTTTTACCGTTGCATGCTTTGAAAGCATTAACACGTTTCTACAAGACAGCGCAATTGCTGACAAGTACTAAGAAATAACGAACATTCATTTGTATAAAACATGTACCTATTATGTGCAGTATCATGTGACACCCAGCATTTGTGTGTACTGAAGTGAAGGACGTGTCGACTATTATGTACACACGAGCGAATACATCTACATAAGGACCAGACGTGTGCTCTGCTATTTTGTGCTGGTTGGACCGAATAATAACGAGGAACATTACCAGAGACTTCATTCATTGACTTTCGAACATTTCCTTATCTTTTCGTTGTGATATGTCCGTATAAGTGTGTCTTTGCATATCTATGCCCCAGTGTTCTATTTTCCATGCACTGCTTTGCACGTTTTACTTTGGGATACGTGTTCAGGTTTAACTGAATGGCTAAGGAGCAGCCAGCACCATAATTGTGTGCCAACATCTTCATATATATCACATCATTAAAAAAATTCTTTTTGTAAGTTTTGCCAATTAGACACATAAATTTTCAACTGGTATAGAACTAAATACGGTGACCAAATTCTACAGCTTGTTTACCGATTAATGTAATTCTTGACCGCACAAAAAGACGAAGACATAGGGAGGTACGGTGACACGGGTGGTTGTGTGGTCAAGGTGTCGTACTGTCATGATAAACTCGGTGAAACCAAAAATGTGATGCTCTAAATCAGTTATACTAAAAAAACGGTCTTCATGTATGTACTCTGTCAGTAAAAAAAAGCTATGTGTCATACTGATGTGATTGCTTGTGCTGTCATCAGTTCATGTGTTTTCGTTTTTCTTTGTGTTCAATACGCTCGTTTTTTACTGTTTTCAAACACTTCAAAAATAACCATGTTTGTAAACTCGGACCATGGTCGTTTACTGCTTTGTACTGTTTTAGTTTGTTGACACAAAAGTTACGCCATGTGATTCCGTTTGACTGCTGTAAAACTTTCTATTGTATGAGATGGCCAGGTTCCCTTCAAGCTACTCAATAGATGTCAGACTCAGCCCTCAGGCGGCGCTGCGAAAAATGCCGCCACCAGCGCCCCATTGACACGGCGGCCATAAATGGGTAGTGCAAGGAGAGCCGTCGGCAAGCGAACGTGCATGAGACCTCTTGTTTTGTTGGTCTTAGGGCGCAGTTTTTTTTTTTTAAAATCAAGCAGCTGGCACGCTTCTTCTGTCGATCGAAGCTCGCTTCAGAAAAGTAACAAGAGCATCAAAGCGAATTGTAGTTCCAATGTAAAAGATGTTTCAGTTATTTCGGTGTGCTGCAATTTAAGTGCAAGCGAGCATCGCATGTCATCCAGTTTGAGGCAAGCACTCCGAGATGCGTTCTTTAACGCCCAAATGCATTGAAGTTGGGATCACACAACTACGCTAAGTGATGAAATACATACACTAGAAATCTCTTTGGCGATCATTCGTACGAAGCTCGTTTTAGCCGGCCCCAATTGTCCTGACTATTATCGTCTTTGCAGTTGCATTATCTATCAATATCTCGCTTCTTGTGCGTTGAACTGTTACTAGGTTGTTCTGTTGACAATGGTCTTCCATTTCTATACACTGCAAATTGGGATACATGCGTATCCATTTTCTCAGCGAACAACGAATGCGCCACCGAGGCCTCCGATATAACTCCGGCAATCACGGAGATTAACGTTCATAAAAACCTGATTGTGGTAGCGATCAGTTTGCGATTCACCTGTGTGATGTACTCTTCAAAGCGCTACGTGCGTAATGCTGTGTGGGGCGACCGCTTGAGGTTATCGGTGGTCGCGACGTGTGCGATGTTTATCGCACTCATCACATCTCTACTGTTGCTGGGCGCACACCGTAGTCGGAGGCTCTGTAAGCTTCATATTCAAAGTTAACACGCTTTTTTATGGTAACGATCGGACGCCTTATCATATCATCTAGATTATCGCACTTTCTCTTGCAACCGGCTGGGGAGAACGCAAACCATTCGCTTACCCAGTGTGTTCACGACGGCCCGTATCCAGCGCTCTCGCCATTATGCTTCACGAAAGCTACGGGAATCAGCAAAACAGAAGTCCTTAACATTCGTGCCAATTCACACTGCAACGGTAGCGTCGACTAGGGTCTTTTTTTATAGAGTGCGGAGCTGTTGCGTCTGCTCTTGTTTTCGCCGTCGTTCTAACGAGTGAACCAGAAAGCACTTCATGGCGATTCGGTTACGCATCCGACTAGCGCAGACAAATTCGCCGCTCTTTTTTCAAGAGTTCACTGGACAATTACACCTAATAATTAGCTTAATCGTTGTTTTGTACGCTGTAGCTGCACCTGGTCGCGGAGGAAACTGTGCAAGGTAGTCGGGCTATGCACTACTCAAAACTGGGTCGACAGGTGGCGCTGCATGTCCACAAAACTCCAGAGTCTGACGTCTATACATCTTTTCCCCGCTTGGTCATCTCCACAACCCTGTTAGAAAAACAACCTCTGTTCAAAAACTCACTCAGTGGCACTTGTGGTGCCTGTGGTTGCAGGTTCTGCTCTCCGTGGATGCGAAAGATACCACTGCTCTGTCGTACGTGGTCGCCTACAGATGGACGAGACTTAGGTATGGCTTATATTATGTCTCATATTGTGGCATGCACGAAAAAACAGAGCTATCTAACCGAATAAGCCGCGCACACGAGTTTTCCCCTGTGGCACTGAGGCATTCTGCTGACCTTCCTGTGTGCATCACTTATGTTGGTGTTTTGCGTATATACTCACCATACAAGACGACTGAACGCAGTGGCAAGCTGTGTCTGCACCTGAAACATATGTTCTATTATATGAGGTTAAAACGGTATCGTAACGCTATGAAAAATTACCGATGGTGTTCAGCACAGCTCTTTGGGTTTTTTCGTTTTGAAATATGTTCAAACAGTTTGAGAGGGTGATGCTTGTATGTAAAGTCGCATACCACTCTTTATTGGGAGCAAAGAGCCTATGCCGTGGGTTCGGCGTGCGTTATCTATGTAGTAGAAGTAGTATGTAGCCATCTCCGCGGCCGGACTAAAGGAGCGGCACGCACGCAGCTTTTTCAATTGACAAGGAACCAGCTGCACGATAATCACAAATAAAAGATAGATATGTGCGATAAAATAACTTAGAGAGACGAGTATTGTTGACTTATTCTTAAATATATTTCTCTTTGATTTTGATGCTTACTAAAAAGTAGTATCAGAAGGACGCACTTTGAGCACTACCTTAGCAGAAACGGCTGCCACGTTACACTTGCTTGGCATAACCTCCTTGGTTTTAGCAAGTTTTAGCGAAGGATTGGCTGCAGTGCTATGAATAAAGTGAACTAGTATATAGCCATGAACTAGAAGCGGTTGATTGATTGATTGATTGATTTGTGGGGTTTAACGTCCCAAAACCACGATATGATTATGAGAGACGCCGTAGTGGAGGGCTCCGGAAATTTTGACCACCTGGGGTTCTTTAACGTGCACCTAAATCTGAGCACACGGGCCTACAACATTTCTGCCTCCATCGGAAATGCAGCCGCCGCAGCCGGGATTTGAACCCGCGCCCTGCGGGTCAGCAGCCGAGTACCTTAGCCACTAGACCACCGCGGCGGGGTAAGCGCACAATGCGGGCGCTGCCAGTTTTTTTTTAAAGACCACCGCGGCGGGGCAAACTAGAAGCGGTGAAAGGTGAGAAGTAAACACGAAGCGGAGGCCGTAAGAAAGTGCACGTGTGCCACCTATCCTTTAGTCCGTAAAATGTCCGTTGGATGGTGGTACTACTATATGCTGGATATTGTGCCACTAAAAGGACTTCTGCAAGTATTGTTTCCATAGATGCTGGCAGGCTTGTATGTGCAGCTGTTCAAAGGAGGACGAAGATGGGCTTTCGATAAAAATGATGGAGTCGTATTGCCATTGATCGATCTACCCTGACGTCCTTGCGTGCTTTTATCTACAGTTGCAGTCACGATGAAACCTGACGTTGGGGGATGTGCTGAGTAGCAGTGTATGCACTGTTACGACGAGGAAGGAAGGTCTCGGCCCCAACATTGACGCCTTGATAAAAGCAGCCGACCTTTGGCGCAGTCGGTGGCAACTAGACCTACCAACCCAATTCAGGCCTCTTCCGGAACACTCCAGAACCATGGCAAGTGCGGCAACTGCAAGCCAGGCTGAACAGACCACGACTTCCGCCAACTTCATGGCCACCAGCTCCTCAAACCCCAAAGTTCTTCCGTGGGGAGCTCTACAAAGATGTTGCAGACTGGCTGGACCAATACAATTGAGTCGCCGTCATGAACGAGTGGGATGAGCCTCGGAAATTCCGGTATGTCTATTTCTACCTAGAGGATTCAGCACGTATTGGGTTTGAGAACCACGAGGCTGCGCTGACAGCCTGGCTGGTGTTTTCGCACTCAGCTGTAGGAACACGTAGGGTAGCGCTAACTGGAAAGAACAAGAGCAGAACGCCTCGTCAATTTTCGCAATCGAACACCGAACGAAGTCGTGGCCATGTTCGTTGAGGAAATGTCTCGTCTGTTTCGTCGAGCTGACTCCGCAATGACGGAAGACAAAAAGTTACGCTTTCTGATACGGGGCATCAAGGAGCCACTGTTTGCTGGACTTGCGCGAAATTTACGAGCTGCCGTGGCGGAATTTCTCCGTGAAGCGACAACGATGGAGCGAATTTTAAAACAACGGTCTTCAAAGTATCAGCAGTCGGACAACCTTGCATGTCGATCACCACCCTTGGAAACACCCAACGTCACGAGCGTGAGAGACCTTGCTGAGCTAGTCCGTGGCATTGTACGCGACGAGCTGTAAAAGCTTTGGGCAGTGCCTTCACAGCCTCAAGTGGCTGCTCTGACAGGCGTTGTGCGTGAAGAGGTATGGCAGCTGGTACGACCATTAGTGGCGCCACCAGCCAAAGGTCTTCTGCTAACGTATGCAGACGCTATACGCACTCTTACACCGGCAGCCATCTGTTTTCCCCGACCGAGCAGCCTGCGGACGCCGCAATACTTCTCAGGCCCACCACACTACGAAAACCCACGAATTAGCCTTCAGATGCAGCAGTACTTCTCGGGCCCACCACACTATGAGAATCCGGGACCTAATGTGCGGAAATCTAGCGTGTGGCGCGCTTCTGACAATCGGCCACTTTGCTACCACTGTGGTGAGCCAGGTCACTTGTATCCGCGAGTGTTCGAACAGACAGATGGGCCTGCCTAGATTTCGGCCAGACACTCGATGGCCCTAGGATAGTGAACCCCGCGTGCTATTGCAGAGTACTTGGCAAGCCTACCGTCTTCGAATCTTGAGCGACGCCACTCACGCTCCCCGTCTCCTTGACGCTCCACATCCTCGAATCAATTCTCCACTTTCGTCGATGTTTATATAGGACAATAGGCTAGGTCCCCAAGTCCACGCCGGGAAACTAGGATCAGTGGCCTCCGGAGGTGGGATCACTGTTAAGCAGTCGTCAAAACAGCCTCCTACGACCCATTCGCCAACCTTCGACGATTTCTTTTAGCCGACCCCTCACAGCGTCGACCAACCCGTTTCTGCTGACATTGCCGTTCTTGTCGACAACCATTCGGTAACTTCTCAGGACGATACTGGCACGGAATTCTAAGTTATTAGCGCTCAAGTCGTGGCTGAACTCACGAAGGTTACCACTTCTTGGGGGCATAGACCAAATATTCGAACAGCTGGAGGTCATCGTCTGACATCAGTCGGGAAATGCACCGCAAAGCTGCAAATCTGTTAGTCGACGTTCATTGCTTCTTTCGTTGTGCTTCCCGAATGCTCCCGGAAAGTTATCCTTGGCATGGATTTGCTTCTGGATCAGGGTGCTGTAATAGATCTTCGAGGCTACCTCGTAACGTTTGCTGACGACTATGTTTCGAATCCGTAAGGTACCGATTCACAGAGGACTGCGCTTCGCATCGTCGACGACACCGTCACACTTCCGCCACAAACAAGCAGGTTCGTTACTGTACAGATGACATAGATCATGACAGTACTGGAATAGCTGTATCCAACGTTTCGGTGCTCTTGTCTCAGCAAATCTGCGTTGCCCATAGCATAATCCAATTTAAACATGAAATGACTGAATGATTGGTCACCAATTTTTGTGGACCGTACCAACATTTTGCCAAACAAACAACTATAACTCATTTCAAACCCATTGACGATGAAGTGCGTACGACTGATTGCCCCGATTTCCGCAGCCATTGAAAGTGACTACGCAGCAGCCGATACAGTCGATGTCTATCCGAAGCTGTCATGTGCGCAAAAAGAGCAAATCCGCGGTGTTCTCTGCATGTTTAACAACTGTTTCGTGGTCACATCCAAAATAAAACAAACACCGACCGTAAAACGCCTTATTGTCACACACCACGATGAACGACTCATACGTCAGCACGCCGGCGAATATCACAAAAGGAACAAGAGAGAATATGTTCTCAACTGAAGCATATGCTCAAAATGGCGTCACCTAACCCACGAACAGTTCAAGGTCACACCCCGTCATACTAGTAAAGAAGGACGGCACTCTTTGGTTTTGCGTAGACTACCGCGAACTTATCAAAGTGACTAAGAAAGATGTTAATCCTCTTCCGCGCATTGACGATTCACTAGACCACCTTCGACGCACCCGATACTTCTCCTACATGAACTTACGCAGCGGCTACTGGCAGATCAAAGTTTATGAACGCTACAAAAAAAGCATTCGCAACGCCTCATGGTCTGTACGAATTTGAGGTGCTGCCCTTTGGTCTGTGCTCTGCTTATCGAAATATCACAGGATGATGGACACAGTGCTGCCTTGTCTCAAGTGGGAAGCACACCTTGTTTACTTAGACGACGTCGTTGTTTGATCACAAACGTTTGAGCCACACTTGCTGCGACTTAGATACGTCTTTGTTGTAATTCACACGACAGGCCTATCACTGAAACAAGAAAATTGTCATCTTGGTTATAACAAACAAACATTCATCGGCCACCTTGTTAGCCACTGTGGTATTCACTTGGACGAAGACAAAACATTGGCTGTCGCGGACTTTCTGCCACCTGCCAACAAACGTGATATGCGTCAGTTTTCTAGACTTCTGAGTGTACTACAGACGTTTTGTGCAAAATTACGCAAACATTGCCGAACCCCTCATTCGTCTGACAAAAGACGTTTCCTACATGTGGGGCCTTGAGCAAAAAAGCACTTTCTCCAAGCCCCAGCAGCGTCGCGTCTGCAGACTGAGCCCTTACTTGGACAGTACGATGAAGTTGCCGACACTGAACTACAAACAGACGCCAGGAACATCGCCTATGGTGCAGTCTTCGTCTAGTGGCAAGGCGGCGTCGAACGTCCTATTGCTTATGCCAGCCAGTTTTTTTTATCTGCGGAGGCGAAATACACAACCACTGAAAAGGAGTGCCTAGCTGCTCTCTGGGCAATAGCTGAATTGAGACCGTATCTGTATGTTCGCCTGTTTAAAGTTGTTACCGATCATCATGCTCTCTGCTGGTTGGTGAACCTCAAAGACCCTTCCTTCTGTCTGGCCACGTCTGGCCAGGTTCCGATGCCTTCGCGAGTTCC